ACAACAACAACAACAACAACAACAACAACAACAACAACAACAACAACAACCACAACAACAACAACCACAACAACAACAACAAGAACAACAACAACAACAACAAGAACAACAACAACAACAACAACAAGAACAACAAGAACAACAAGAACAACCAGAACAACCACAACCACAACCACAACCACAACAACCACAACAACCAGGACAACAACAACAACAACAGCAACAACAACAACAACAGCAACAGCAACAACAACAACAACAGCAACAACAACAACAACACACCGACATTTGACATCATTTAACTGACAGTGGCAATCACTTCCACACTCGGACTCAGAACTGGAAGTGCAACTGGAATTGGAACTCGAACTGGAACTGGAAGTGGAACTCCCCCTCCCCGAAAAGAGAAATAAACTTTAAACTGACATTGGCAATCACTTCCAGACTCGGACCCAGAACTGGAAGTGGAACTGGAACTGGAACTCCATCTCCCCCCCCCGAACAAACAAATTCGACATTCTCCTGAGATTGGTAACTGGAACCAGAACTAGAACTAGAACCGGAATTGGAACTAGAAGTGGAACAGGAACTAGAACCGGAAGCGCAACTGGAACTTGAATTGGAACTAGAAGGAGAACTACAACCGGACCACCCCATCCCGGAAAAATACCTGACACTGGTACGAAATTGGGAATTGGATCCAGACTTCGACCTGGAAGTAGAACCGGAACCGCCCCCTCAAGAACCTCCCCCCTCCCCAGTCTCCCTTCTTGGACGATGAGGAATTGGAACAGGAACTGGAACTCCCCTCCCCCCTCCCCAGTCTCCCGTCTTGGACGATGAGGAACTGGAACTGGAACTCCCCTCCCCCTCTCTTTTCTGTTGGACGACGTGGAACTGGAACTGGAACTCCCCTCCCCCTCCCCAGTCTCCTGTGTTGGACGACGTGGAACTGGAACTGGAACTCCCCTCCCCCTCCCCAGTCTCCTGTGTTGAACGACGTGGAACTGGAACTGGAACTGTTCCACCCGCCCGGGGCACACTCTGGAAAGGCATTAGGATAGAAACTGTCTCAACAAAAAGCCTCGTGCTGTGTTGGAATGTATGTGTATATATATATTAATATATATATATTATATTTATAACCATACACCAAAAGTATTTCTCGATGATTTCCTGCTGCTCTAAAACAACACAATAATCAAATATTGTCAGCCCGGACAAATCAATGCTAGTCAAAACAAACTTCAACTTGATGCTCACCAAACTGTTGGTTTCTAGGTGTAAACTCCAGAAAACAAATGACCAAACAATGATCCTCTGATCAATAGGTCCAGGTTGAGTGCTTGAGAGTCCCATCCTGGTCTGGTGGAAAAATCCACTCTTTGGCTCGGCCTCAAACGCACCGCGCCCAGCAGGACCAAGAGCACCCCCCTGACGTGTGCTTTAGCGCTCCACCCGTCAAGGGTCAGACGGGTCAGACATGTATTTCACATGTGTGATTGGTTTGGTTTCGAGGGAAGAACTGCCAATCACCTACACATCAGCTTGACATTTGGAGTACAGGCACTGAATCTCCATGTTAATGTACAAGTAGTATCATTTTATAACATGTCCGACTGTTGCTTACAATGTCCTGTGGATTGTGGATACTGGATACCTGCCATCTGACACAAACGATCAAACATCAACGAGTCAAACCGCAGAAATGAATGATCGTTATCGAATACATCCCTATAGCAATCCACACAATCAATGCCACTAAAACAACTTGGTGCCTGGCCAGCCGCGCTGGAAGCTTGCTGGCTGATTTCACTGAATTTCTCAAAACGGCTTTACATCTCTGACACATTCAGCACCTGTGGACCCTCTCGTCTCACTTCCCATGGCCCCTTCTGCCCATCCAAGCGCCTCTGTTGCACAAGGGGAGCCTTTACGGGCAGTCTCCCTCTGCCAACCTGTGGCGGAGCCCGAGCTCTCGCCAAAGGGGGTGTTCCAGAGGGCATTCAAGATAGGTATCATAGTGAACAACAACAGGAGCAGGTCACCATGGAGAACCCCTGCCCCAAGCAACTGCACGTCACACTTCAGGGGCCTTGGTATCCTTGATTCAGTCGTGAATCTGTGCAATTATGGGATGTTATTGGATGTGTTTGTTTTTATGTGATATTTTCACCGGGGGCGACTACGAGTCCTCCATGTCCTCTATCATCATCACCTAGTACTGGTAGCTTCCGCACCTGCGAAGCATTCGCCGCCGCAAAGCCATGCGGCGGCGCCCTGACGCCCTGTGGCGCCGCGGGCAACGCCCACATACTGAGCCACAAGGCAGCAAGGTCAGAACCACAAATGATTTAGCCCCAAAGATGGCAAGTTCACCTTGATGAGTCGACCATAAGCTTTATATACTAGTTGCGATAGTAACGCCTCAGGTGTCGTTGGTACAGAAATGCGTTTGCAAATTGGAAGAGTCAGAAAGTGTCCTGGTGAACAATACCTCTGACACATGGACTACTGTAGGTAACTATAGGCAACCGACATAGAGCAAATCGGAACAACTGCAAGGCAAATGCTTCATGGCTTTACCTCCGCCACCCATACTAGTCGCAAGCCCTATGCGGGTTAGGCATGCCTAGACTGCCTAGGTCTTATTATCTCAAGCAATTCAGGACTGAAACCCCCTCTCATGTGTTCACATGGACGTGTCTTTGAGACATGCTGCACTCATGAATCAACTCAGGTCTCAACCATGCAGTTTCACCACCAGATCTTTCATTTTTCCTGGCAAATATCCCCATGGCCCATGGCCCGGGCGATGGATCCAAGGCCTCCGCTACCAGTTTTCAGTTGCGGCGCACCGAGCCACCGAGCTGAGCTTGAACGAGTTCGACATCCCATCCGAGGGCCATACGGGATCCCGGATCTGGCTGTGGATCAACACGGATCAACACCCACGAAAACAGTCTTTGTACGATCCTCCATGTTGATCTTCAGGAAACACCCAAAGGGCGCCCCTACCGTGGGCGAACCGTAGGGCCATTGCGCTGGGCACTGGATACCAAGGGTCCAAAGGAACCGCCTCAGCCGCTCGTGTGTGAAGCGCCCAGCCTTGTCGAGGACCTTTGGCACTCAGCGTTTGCGCAGCAACTGAAGTGGAGCCTGGTGATGATGACTGGTGGTGGTGGCTTTCTGGTTGGACCAGCATGAATGCATTGGTTTGTTATTCTGGGCCCCATGCACTTGGAGTACAGAACTGGGCACCACACCACACCCTTTTGATTCTGGTAAGATTCTCACGGGTGCTGCATGAACCACTGTCGCCTGTTGCCGTGTTGTTGATTCCAGACTTCCTTCAACCCAGATTACCAGCCACAGTATGGCAGAAAGTCATCTCCAACTGCTCTCAGGCTCTCAGGCCTGATTCTGGAGAGGCTGATACCTGTCACGGAACCAAGCATATGTCCAGAAAAATACCGCATGCTGCACCATTCATCCATGATCATTATCCAGGTGTTTACCCGTTTTGAATGACCACCTTGCGATGCCTTCAATTGGCAACATTGCGACGCCTTTAGTTCGATGGACACATCATGTTGATTATTGTGCATCGGTTCCTTTCTGAAACCTGCACTGCCCAGTTCCCACCTTTGCCTCTTCGACTTTCCTGAACCCAGAAGAAGGATAACATCAAGATATGTCCCTTTTAATTCGTTAGGATTGTGATCTGCATTGCTTGGAGACATCCTCTGCTTTGATATGATTTGAACTGCACGACTTCACGATTTCTAGATCACCTTCGTTTTGGAGGAAACCCACGGAAGTTTCTGAAGTAGAAAGGTTTAAGAGTTTACCCATTTGGAGTTTTGCAATGAACATCTTTGGCATCTGACTAGCAGCATGCAAAGCGCAGCATGCAAATACAAACTCTTCAATACAACTGGTATACAAACAAGAAATGACGGCAAACCTGCCTCCCAGCTGATGGCAAACTCTCTGATTCAGCCATGGCTACGATGGGCCACGCCGCGGCCGGGTCCTTCGAGTTCGGGGACCACCCTCTGATAGCTGTGCCAGGGGTGGAAGCGTCCGCGTGCGACCGCAAGAATCAACAGCGGTGACATGACACTTGAGAAGCACCAGTTACCTCACCAACATGACACTAGGAGTAAAATGCAATCTTCCTCACGCAACTTGGCCTGTCTGTTGCGTTGGTGAGGCACGGTCACCCAACGCACCAAATCCATAAGCTGGAGTGGAGAACAACATCACATTGACACCAAGTTATCTACTTTCTTCTGCCCACGGGCGAAGAGCTTGAGATGATCCTTTTCAGGGCGAACCCCACCAAGGGATCAGCATAGATCTGAATGTGCACGTTGGAAGCTTCGAACATCCAGTGACTTCTCCTTTTGCAAGTCTCAGAGTTTCCTTTGTACCAGTATATATATATATACAATACAGCAAAAATCATGCAGCAAACAACATGTGTGCGGCGGGCGACATTCTAGTCATTCTGCTGCCATGGTATCCCTCTTCAAGGGTCCCTATCATTCGACACAGTCCCAATCAAAAGCAAAGAACACTACAATCTCCCTCAACCCGGAGGATTCCTTATGGTCCTAATAGAAGATCACACATGAAAACCACTCCAGGTATCGTTTGGTATCGGTCTGGGCATAGCTCTAAGCCAACGTTTGCCCAACACATGCATATGTCAACATATAATTGGGAATTTGCATATTCCTGGTATCCGTGTTGCTCTTCAGGGTTCCCTGTCGCTACACACAGTGATTGCAGAGTTTTACAAAGTCAATGGTGGTTCATCGCCAAAACTCTTGTGTGTGGAAACAGGTTGTTTCCTCAGTCCAAGAAAATCTTTTTGCTTTCTGGTGCGGTCAATCTATATGATGTGAAGGCTACCGCATTTTGCTCTCACATGCGCTGACAGTCCTGCAACAGGGTGAATCAGGACGAGGCGAATATATAGATGTTGCTGCACCTGGTCCCGTAGGGGTTGAGGTGCCAAATCAAGAAGGCAAAGCCCAAACCAGCAAACTGGTAGAGGAACTCACTCAAAACTCTCGTGACATTGCAGGACGAGGTGAATCAAATGAACGTGTTCATGACGAGAAACTGCGGTGTTCTCGTCACTGCGGTGGCCCGACATGTTTTTCGTTTTGCGATTCTTCACTTCCTCTGCCGACGTCTCTTTCACCCACATGCCACAGGTGTGTTGTCCAGTCAACATAGCGACAAACATCGGCCTCGAAGCAGTACACCAGCCCCACACCAGGTGTGTTGCTCCAACACCTGCGGACAGTGCAAACTGTGAAACGGGACTCTGGTGGCAATATGCTGGCGCGCATATTGAACCCCTAGCCTAGCGGACTCTGTTGCGAAGATCCCTGAGGTGCGTCCGAAGAAATTTAAACAACAATTTGTCCGTTGCAAGCACCAAAACCTTTCAACTTGGGTCCTTGCCTCCATCTCTGGCAACTCAAACGTGGGCGCAGCTCCGGATCGTCAGCGCATCGATGGGACCTCTCGGATTCTTGTGCACTCCACCAAGCTAGAGATACCGCCAAGGAAGGAAGGAACGAAGGAGTTTTGCCAGTCTTTCTGCGCCCGTTTTTACCTTGACACACCTTGAAACAAAGCAATCTTGTGACACCTACAGTGCCAGAAAGCTGTTCAGAACACTCACTGAAGAGATTTCTCCATTGGATCCATTGGTGCGGCTCTTTTGTGCTATCTCAGCAAAGCAAAGAGACGGACGAAAATTGCGACTGGACATTCTGTGCACATTGCAGCGCATTCTCTCTGCCCAGAATTGATCTTACTGCAATTATGACATGACCAAAGACTGACTAGTGGAGAATCTCTTGTAGCGAACTTGTCTACTGCGGAGCCAGCAAAAGTTGGGTCACGCGTTCAATGAACTATGTCAACAAAACAAGAAAATTGTCACGTATCAAAAGTAGGTTTATTTGTTCTTCACATTTGCTCGCTCAGAGAGAGATGCTGCATCTTTCCCTGAGCGAAACAAAACAATTGATCGAAGTGACCATCTATGGCAAATCATCAACACATGAGAGTTTAGATGCTCAAACTGGAAATGCCTGTTAGCTTCCATCATGGCCATGGATCAAACGAAAGACTGTCTTGGAAACAAATGACTGGCCAGGCAGTGTTACTAAACCCAAGAGCTCTGATGGCCTGTAGGTGCCTAAGGCTTATATAACTTAAAAGTATTGCATATCCACAAAATGGTCGAACAGTACAGGAATGAAAGGATTGCTGCATTCTACGAGGTACCAAGTCGATCTTTCAATATGTTGCAATAATGCATATATAATGTATGTTGATGTTGGTTGAATGTGCCTTCCAACACAGTATATTTGCAACCACATGTGCATTCATTCTAGTTGTTACAATGAGGATGATAAACTGCTCAGCACTCCCAGTCGAAGTTGTCCCCCAAACATTTAACGTGACTAATGATGTGACATTATGGTCTTCTACTCTGAGTTCAGCTCCCATTGCGCTAGGACCCTGTTGGATCAACAAACATGCAAAGTTCGTCATTGCATAAGTCGCTCACCTTCCCATCAATACCTTAGACAACATCAGCCTTATTCCAGGAGTTTGCTTCTTCACCACCATCAGTTCTGGCATTGATGGACATCCGAAAACTACCCCTCGGTTCTGTGGTCTCATGTCCTTATCCCCCGGCTTCAGGGCCAAAAGGTAGTAGTAGACTAGTTCGATTGGCAAGTGTCAAGCTTTTAGCAAGCTGACAGTCTAAATCGAAGGAGAGGACCGAGGTCCACACGGAGCAGCCCTTCCACGTGTCGTTTGAGGACCCAGAATTCCACCACCTCAGCGCTCAGAGCGCTCGGCGAGGCCTCTGCACTGGTGGTCTTTCTGGGGGTTAGGTGATCAGTCTGTTCACCTGTAACTGCCGTCCACCGCCAATGGTTAGCAGATGTTGGCAGGGTCAAAGCGGTGCTGGGTTTGGATCCATGTTTGACCGGCAAAGCCAATCAAACCATTGAGATGTATTGAGATCGATTAGGCTTTGACGAATTGGTGTCTTAACCACAGCCAGTCAGAGTTCGACAACCTCTTGTATCGCTGGTCTTGGCTAAAACACGAGTTCGAGACGCAGGTGCGTCATGCGAGACGCGAGAACGGTGATCCCACCTTTCGTCACGTTGATCGCATCAGTACCACTATAGTACAGTACTAGAGTATCGACAGTGGTCCAAATCCCAAAAGCAAGCCATTCACGGATAAGACAGATACTGAAGACATGACTACTGCTGTGGGAATCGTTTCATGGCTGCGACGGCGCTGCGACGGCGCTGCTCCCAAAAACCGGTGAGGCGGGCGGAAACCGCTGGGGAAGGGGCGGAAACCGGGAGACCAAGCTGAGGTTCCATGCAAGACCAAGAAGACGTCCGCTGCAAAGGAGGAAGCCCACCAAGTTGAAACCCGGGAAACTGCGGCACGAGGGACTAACAAATATTGGTCTTGGCAAATGTCACCCATGGATATGAACTGGATATGCGGTTTGGGCGAAGCCGAACCCCGTAGATTCAATGATCAGCGTTGCCTGTTGGACAGAGAATGTAGACAAATTCGGTAGACGAAGGTCTCTGGCTCTGGGGATGAGACATTGATTGAAGCCACTGCTTCACCTAGTTCTAATGCACCCAGTTTCATAGGTGATGCCCCTATGACCCAAGCCTTTGGTCATGTCGTCCAGATCACGAGTTTTTCATACCACAATTTCTTACTCATTGACATAAGTATATATAAGTATCGTAAACCATATGAGCAGCCCAATTCCACCATGGCTTGCTCCATGAATCCCCCATCTCCCCGGGCCTAGCGGAGGTCCTCTGCCGGAGCCAAAGCCACAGTGGCAAGAAATGCAGCCCAGCCTCAAACGTGAAGGAGCTCTCAACCTCCGATACATTTGGAGGTTGAGTCGGAGATATCAGAAGCTGGGTGAAGCTGGTTGAAACCGAATACTGCCGAACTTATAAAACATACTACATAATTCTATACATAATTATATGTATACAGTAAAATACTAAATAAAACACACATATACAATCATTATAAAATATCACATATTTATTTAAATTTGCGGAATCCTATTCATCTTAAACCCCCGGAAACGTTGTTCGACCTACCTAGGCATTCCGGCCACCATCAATGCGCCGCAGGGCGATTTGAAGACGTTTGACGTCACGGCAGCCACGAGCATGGGAGCATCCTCGAAACACGTCACCTGGCAGGGTGAAACTGGTCCGGTGTGAGCCACCAAAGGGGTGAAATCGGGTGAAATCTGAATGGTTTTGAGTTGGTTCAAGATTCAGAATTGGCCTTGATTGGCCATGATATGCATCTTACTGCATCCGCGTCTCTGTTTGGCTGGGGTGCATCGGTGCATCAATCGGATTCAATAGGTCCTGATCAATTTCGCCGGACATAGACGCTTCAAAGACATACTAGAAAGCATTATTGCTACTACAGGTGAACCGATTCCCAAGGAAGCTTCTAGTTACTAGAAATACATGTATGACTCTACTTGTTCTGTAATGATCTGTAATGTATCTTCAACTTACTTCTGCCGTCCAAAAACATAGGGCATCGTCGTCTGCCAAAAAAGCCACCTTCCATGACTCGCTGCCACTGGAATGCGTGCATGCCTGAGCTGTCGACGTTCGTCATGCTCGGAACGGTCACTTCAGTCAGCTCGTCGCCCGAGTATTAAAGCTGCCTAGAGTCCTCTAACTGTTCATGGCACTGCTATCCGCTGGTATTTGGAAGTCGTCAGCAAAGTGAAAACCGTTCCAGCATGTTCCAGCCACCAGCCCGGCCCGATCCCTGGATCCAACATGGTCACATCCGATTGTGACATGCACTGAGACTTCGACGAAAACGTTAAGCTCCACAAGCCTCAGTGTGAACAGGTCCTGTCACCTTTAGAGTTGGACGATTTGGACGTTGGTGCGTGTGATGTCATGTAAATCATGACTCATGACATATCTGCTTGGTGGTTTATATGGCCTGTTGACAAAGGCATCTTCGAGTTGATCAGCTAAGCGACGGGAAGAGAAAGCCTGGGAGATTCAGCGCAAGGACCCACATACCGCCTGCCGAGGTTGGTGAATTGAAACCAAGCTGGTTCTCTGTGCTCAGTATTCTGAAGGCTTTCGCCGGCCACTCCGTATGGAGGATTGATGGCTTTCTCACCAAGACTATGGCAACGTCTATTTGCACAAACAATCACTTGGATTTGTAGAAGGCGGTGTGAGATGAGTGAACAAAGCCACAGGCTTGGAGCCATAGGAACTTCCAGGCCCCGATGGAACTTAAGTCCTGGGACTTGCACAAAAACGTGAAACACCATATATTTATTTCCCCAAATCCTTCTCCCCAACTTGATATGTCTTCTCCTAAGTCCTTCCGACCAAGTCCTGCAACAGCACTCACCCGCCACCAAAAAATCGATCACTTGACGCTTTCACCGTTTTCACACCTTCCAAAGTGCCAGAAAAGCCTGACATAAGCCACCAAGGGATACAAACACCGGGGAGTCTTCTGCGGTGTCAGTCCCCCTTGGCGATCCATCCAGGGCCTCGCTGCGCAATGTCGACCACAACATCTAAGGCAGCGCCGAAGCGGCTCTGTTGTTGCCAACGGCGAGCCTGGATCTCGAACGGAGCTATTCGGGATCGGAGATTTCATGAAGATTCCAACTGTAGAGGAGGTGTTCAGCCTTGGGATAGAAGGAGGAATCATGAGGAATCATTGTGGACACGATGAGGAATCTTCTCGCACTTCAATAGACTTCAATAGACCCTTAAATGAAGCAAAGGTTGAGGAGATTGCAAGTGTGGAGGGTTCAGAAGTCTTCTGGCTGTACTCCATCAAGTCGTTCCCGTTTCACCTGGAAAAAAGGTATCCACCTTCCAGGGATACTCTCCTGTCATCAAATCTGCAAACAAAAAGTATATATTATATCCGCCGACCCCGGCTGAAGGAGGGGGAGCGCGCGAGGGATTAC